TATTTGTTGTTTAGTTTGGATTTTATCTTCTATTTGTGTCTTTGTTTGATTTTGAGATTTTAGTCGATTTACACTAATTTTATTTAAAATTTTAGGGGTTTTGCTTTGCTTCGTGCCTAATGTTAGTGTATGATATTTTTTGTAGTAGTGTCGTGCCTTCAATAATATGTTTAATGGTTTTGATTACATTCTAGGATTCTAGCAAAAACTAAGTGTCATGGTGATGAAAAAGAATACAATGGAACTCACCAAAAATTGAAGCAAAAAACTAATTGAAATGCAAAAAAATAGAGAAGTATAAAGATGGAAAAAATGGGAAAGAGATTTGGAGAGAGAAGATCGAGAAAGAGGTAATAAAAAACTCAAATTTGTCCAATAATGATGTTAAATGAGAGAAAGAAGATAACTTATAAAGCCTTAATGTGACTATTAAGCCCTTTTTTACAAGGTCTCACACTCCTAATATATGTATATCACACGCTCCTTAATTGTTTATGCCACATAGAATGTCAAGTTTAAAAAATGTTTAAAATATTGTGTTCTATGGGTTCAGTTGGTAAAGTATTAAGTAGAAACATTCATACTACAAACCCATACAAGTACATACTTCATTAAACTATTTCTCTTTTTTTAATTATCAAATCTTTTAAAATCAAATTCATATACTCAATAAAAAAAAAGAAAAAAAAAAGCAGGAAACAAATAAGGAAAAAGCAAAACATAAAACAAATAGAGGGAAAAATTACGCGGTTAAACAAACATATACTAGTTAATTAGCTAACATAGTTATAGTTTGCATTAATTACAATTCAAAACTTACTTTTAGCTATAATTACATTCGTCTCTCTCGCCTCTCTCCTTTCTTCCTTTCTCTCTCACCTCTCTCCACTCTCTCTGGAATCTTGCTCGCCTCTCTCATATTTTTCAGTCATTTCTCTCTCGCATTTCTCCTCTCCCAGCCCAATCTCTCTCTCTACCCTCTCTTCTGCCATTCTCTATCTCACTTTATACAAACACAATTTATACAAATACAAATCTACAGTTTGTGTTTGCATAAAGCGAGAGAGAATTGATATACAAATACATATCTCTCCACCCTATACATTTATAATTATACAAATACAAATATCTCATTGCCTAGTTCTCTTCTGTCTCTCTTTATTGCTTTATACAAACAAAAATTCTACAAATACAAATGTATAATTTGTGTTTATATAAAGCGCGAGAGACTGGATATACAAATACAAATGTTTGAACACGATTCAATTGTATACATGTACAAATTGTATGCAAATATACAAATACAATCATTGATACATATACATACTAGTTACATATATACAATTATCTAACTAATATATATATATATATAGTCTCTCCACTTTCTGCCCTCTCTCAGTCGCCTCTCTACTCCCTCTCCCAATCTCGTTCGTCTCTCTCACCCATCTCTCAATCTCACTCGCCTCTCTCCTCCCTCTTGCTACGAATCGTAATTAACAAACTATAACTATATAGCATAATTAAGTTATTTTAAGTGGCTATATGCGAATTTTCCATTAAAAACTCAAACAATTTTCTAAAATAAATGTCACAATAGAGCCCATGTTTGACTATTATTTATATACTTTGCTCTAATTGATTTGATTGATCGAAAATGAAGTGAAGTTACAAGGGGCCATCTGGTAAAGTGTGTAAATAGAATTTGAATAAGGTGTATTGCTAATGTCGAGATTAGTTATGCTGATATTAATTTTGGTTGGGATTGAAAAAAAATCAATTGGTTGAGAAAGATGAATTGTTGCAATGTATAAATATTGTATAAATAATGTATATGAAAATATATACCTATCTGATACATAATTATACATTATATATATATATATACACACGCTTGTACACTATTTATAAAATATCGAGACATTATATATACATGCGATCATTTTGTCGAATATATTTTTTGTTGCTTGTATATTTAAGTAAGAAACCCATTATTTTTAGCACCAACCAATCAAATATGTAACTTAGATCCTGCTTGGATTGATTTATTTAAGTGTTTTAAAGCTGATATATCTTTTAAGGACTTTTTTAGTGTTTGGATGAATTTTAAAAATGCTTATAATCACTTGATTTTAAGCTAAAATGATTTTTTTTTTAAAAATACATAGTAAGATAAACCTATGATATATATTTATTATACATAACTATAGTTTAAAAGAATTACAACCCATAGTTATAGTTATGATTTTATAGCACTCTCTCGTCTCTCCCCTCTCTCTGCATTCTCTCACTCGCCTCTCCTCTTTCTCTCGACACTCTCTTTCTCGCCTCTCTCCTCTCTTTATCCTCTTTCTCTCGCCTCCTCTTCGTTGTGATACAAATACCAATGACAACGGTCAGTGATATTAATTAAATTGTAACGATCAATGATACAAATACAAATGGTAATTATCAACTATACATATCATTTTAAGTAATACAAAATACAAATGAGATATTTCAATGATAGAGATCCTTGATTATGATTTAAATTTTAAAAATACAAATGGTGTCTTGCAATGCTACAAATGGTACAAAACACATGCATATTACAAAAATAATTTGTTACGAAATACAACATTGATACAATTGTATTCGTTGATGCAAATTGTCTCTGTTTATAAAAAAATTGTATTTCGTTAATACACTTGAACATGATATAACTTGATACAATTGCATTAATTGAATAAATTGTAATCGTTAATACACTTGATACAACTTATTTGTATCAACAAATACATTAGTTTTTGATACAAATGTTTTCATTGATACAAATCAAAGGTATCAATTGTATTTGTGATACAATTATTGATTAAATATATAATTATTGATCAGATATACAAATCTATTATATCTTGCTCGTCTGTCTCCCCCCTCTCCCAATTTCACCCATCTCTCTTCCTTCTAACATATAGCTAGGTTACGGTACAATTATATTATTAATACAAATCAATTGTATCTGTGATACAATTATCGATCATATATATAAATCTATTGTATCTCTCTCTTGTATCTTGCTCGCCTCTTTCCTCTCATATCTTGCTCGCCTCTCTCCTCCCTCTCCGAATCTCTCTCACCTCTCTCATCCTCCTAACATGTAGTCACGAATTGTAATTAAGAAAACTATAGCTATACATCTTTAACTAATCCCAAATTATAATGTGTTTTTGAAAGTTCCTCAAATAAGCCGAAAGCCATAAGTTAGGATTTCTAACTTAAGAAAAAAAACAAAGGGGTAGTTTCAAATATATAGACTAAAGTAATTAGTTTACAACAAATACAATTGTCTTATTTACATAAAAAAGAAGAAGCTAAAAATCATAGGAAATATACAATGACTATACAATATAGCTTGCTAAAAGTCATAGAAAGCATACACTAACTATACAAATATAGCTTACCTAACATGAGTTATACACCGACTACACATTATGATTTAAGTGTCAAAATGAGCCAAATATAGTTAACCTGTCCAGAATTTTATGGGTTGGGCTCAAAGATAATTTGAATTAGGCTTAATCCCAACTCATTCAAGTTTTAACCCATTTTAAATTACTCTTCATTTGAGCCCAATTTAATATTAAATTTCAACCTGTTTTAAAATTCTTTATTTGAATAAGTGTTAGGTATATTCTCACATTTAAGGTATGCATTACTATCTATTTATATCTTTTGAGATTTATCTATCCATTTGTAACATTTTTTTTTGAGTTGAAATTCAAATTGTGATTATAAAAAGTAATTAACAATATATTAAAATGACTGAGATTAGGCGGGTCAAATTGGGCGGGTCATGACCCAACCCGATTTTTAGCTCATTTGAGCCCAAAGTAATTTTGGGCGGGTCATAACCCAAACCAGTTCTATTTCAATACATTTTAATATCACAAATTTCAATCCAACCCGCCCATTTGACACCACTAGTTATGATAAACTCAAAAAGCTGAATATAACTTAACTATACATGAAATATGCACTGAGTATACATGCAATATACACCGACTATTCAATCTCGATCAACTCAAAATCACCTCTAAACAATCTCAAAATTTAGATATGAAATCCTCTCGATGTTTCGAGTTTGTTGATATATAATTCACTCAAAATGATTCACGTTTGCAGTACATTGAATTTTTGAAAAGAAGAAGAAAAATTGAAAGAAGAATTTGGCACGACGACAACAACGAAGGTGGAGAAGAAATTAACCATTTTTTAATCAAATTGACCGAATGGTCATTTGATGTAATTACCCAATAAACAAGAGAAAATTTCAGAAGTAGCAAAGATAATAGACATAATAAGACGTTATAGTTATAGTTTCAGTACTTGCCATCCATAACTATAGTTCTGTTTGCTATGGAGGCTGCAATTTGTTTATTTCGCTTTCCCGTTTGTATATTTCGCTTGCCCATTTGTATATTTCGCTTGTGAATATACAAACATGGTAAATATCTACAAAAATTGTATTTATACATTTTGGAATATTTCAGAACTCCGTTTGCATATTTCGCTTTAAAGTATACAAACAAGGTAATTTATTTTAATTTTTTCATAAATCATTTACAAATAACTAGTGTAAGCATATACAAATTCTGTATTTATAGAAACTGAATTATACAAATTCTGAATTTATACAATTAGAAAACATAATATCAAAATTTTGCCAAACTATAGTTACCAATTAAAAATAATCAAAATTATAGCTATATTACATAATTCATTTCGTATAATTTCCCAAAAAAACAACAGGCTCTCCGCTCTTACTAGATGGCCCGTGGCCGAGCGTTCTGGGCCGTATATTTCTCAAAATTCAACGCTGTTGGGCTTCGTAAATTCTTTCCAAAGCCATTGTACCGCATGTTTCAGTCCACTCCACGTAAACATCAAGCAGCGAGTATTATTTCCCTTGACTGTAAGGAAGGGAAACATCGTTTTTTTCATTCTTTTCTTCTGTTGCAAGAGCAGAGCACCAGTGTAGTAACAATGGTGGAAGAAAATTTGCGAATTCACACATTTACCGAGATTCCGTCACCGGAGATATTCTCTTCTCAAATTGAACCCAAAAACGTTCCAGCAGTGACTTCTCTAACTTAGAAAATATGCATATCGCACTATATGAACACATAAATTTGTTTATGTTGGTGTGCTCATCATTTTTTTGTTTGTTTCTCTTTGGTTTAGGTCTTCAAAGGATGTATAAAGAATTGGAAGGCTTTCTCAAAATGGAACCCGTCGGACGGTGGCCTAATCTACTTGCAGGTATTCTTTTCTCTTGTTTCGTTGCTTTGCAACTTATGCTATTAAATGATGCCTGATTCTGTTCAAATTATTAAGCTAACTAAAAAATAAGTATGATGAATAGAAACAAAAAGAAAATGAGGAGGACTGTTGGAATTTACACGAAATTTCTTACTGCTGGCGTTGAGGTCTAGAATTTGCATGTAATTGCAAATTATTGAAACTGAAATTGTTTGCCACCAATGAAGTTTTCAATTCCTAATATGAATTGAGAAAACATCAACTTCCGTTGTTGTTTGATCTATTGTTTATGGCAAGTGAAATTAGTTAGTAGCTTTTAGCATCTGGCCTTGTTGTACAAAACTAATGGAGTAACTAATAATTGAAAAACTAGAAAAATAGAACACAAAAGTAGAAGTATCTGCCTTGTTCCTAATGTCCATATACAATGTAACCTTCTCAAATAACTTTGAACTTCTCTCAAGCTATCACTTTCTCTTACAATTACAAATGAACTAAAGTTGAAGTACGGGGAACATGTTGTTGCCTCCAAACGCACACGCAAGTATACGTAGTCATACAAGTAATATAGTGACTTTTTTCAGGAACCGGATGTCGAACCCACAGGGACAAGATTCCTTAGCAAATAACTAACTCAAGTTAAACTATTAAGATGAACAAGTGTGATCATAACCGAAAGACAGTTGATGTGCTGTAACTTCTAACGTGAAGTAAATTGAGAGAGGACGTAAGTACTTGGGTTGTCAACAATGAGAGGGGAATTTCGAGGTCAAGGCGTACTTCACAATCATGTATAACACTAAGTTTCTTTGTTGGTTTACCTATCCTAGTTGTTGATTCATGGGGTTGATAATATGGTTATGGTCTCCCGAGCCTCTAACCTTCTACCACAATTGGACGCCTAACTACAGCATTGAGTGTGAAAGGCCAACCAATTCCCGTGCATGAAGTTATCTTCCCGTATTTGAACCAAATGGGGCGATCTAGGTATATCCGTATCCTTTGCGCGAATCTATCCCTAATTTTAGTTAGAAAGTAGAACTAATTCCTTATGTCCTTCTTTCTAACTAAGATTCCGTCACAAAAGGTTTATAGATTTACTCTAATGATAGCTAATCATTAAAGTAGTAAGAACACGAACATAAGAACAGCCAATAATGATAAACCACAATAACGAACTCAAAACAATGTTATACAATCATGTTTCATTGCCTCAATCCTAGAAACGAGGGTTCTAGCCGCTACTGATTCGAATAACAATTGTATAGATTGAAGAGAACTAAAATAATGTAAAAAGGCAAGAAAGAACCCTAAATAACTTCCCCAACTTGTCCAAGAGGTTTCCACCAAGTATCGAATGATTAAAATATCACATAAGTGTTCTATTTTGTAGTAGAATAGGAGTTATTTCCGATGTGTGCCAAGTCTGTGGCATGTTCTTATCGTGGACCTTGCCTTCACAGGAAATCTTCGAGTTTCTGTTCCAAGTCCGTGGCACGGACTTGGTCCACTGAAATGCAGTTTCTTCCTTCAACTTCTAATTTCTTGATTTTTCATCACTTTCCATTCATCCATTAGCTCTAGCTTCAACTCCAATGCATTCCATCTTCAAGATTAACTCCTTTGTCTCCAATTTTAGCTCATTCAAACACAAATTCATCCCACACAATAGATATATTCACATATGTTAGTTCGTGGACTAAATCACTAATAAATCATGAGAATACAATAGAATTTATTGTAGAACTAAGCTATAATATGGGTATAAAATGACATTTGGAGGTATAAATATTATAGTTGCAAATCATTGAAACTGAAATTGTTTGCCACCAATGAAGTTTTCAAGACTTAATATGAATTGTGAAAACATCAACTTCTTTTGTTGTTTGATCTATTGTTTATGCAAGTGAAATCAGTTATTAGCTTTTAGCATCTGGCCTTGTTGTACAAAACCAATAATTAATAATTGAAAAACTAGAAAAACTAGAACACAAAAGGAGAAGTAACTGCCTTGTTCCTAAATCCATATAAAATTTAACATTCTCAAATAACTTTGAACTTCTCTCAAGCTATCTCTTTCTCTTACAATTACAAATGCACTAAAGTTGAAGTACGGGGAACCTGCCTGTTCGCTTAGTTGAATAATGAGCTGATTCCTCTTTCATTTCACTCATAAAGTATAGGTGGAAATGTAGAGAAGCTCGAGAGCATTAGTGTCCAGAAACAAGTGATCGGATTGAAAGCTAATTATTTTTTTTAATTGATAATTTTAAGTTATATTCTCAAAGACCTACACAAGATTCGGATTGCAGAAATATAGCATATCGTCTCCTCCTCCTCAACTCTGTCTAAAGGTCTTTATAATGAAAGTATATCCGATGTCTATAACATGAAGTTACACCAAACGAAAGACTCACATACATGTAAAGGAGGAAAACTTGGAATATATCAAATCTGAATTAAGTAAGTCACTGTTCTTCGTAAAGACTTAACTTACTTGAGATGATGCCAGGACTATTGAGGGATTCTATGAAGCCCATCAAATCTTAATATAGGTTGAGACTTGCCTCGTTCTGCTAAACTAGCCAAAGGAATAAAAAGCTGATTTTATCTGTTCAAAGACTTAACTTACTTGAGATGATGCCAGGACTATGGAGGGATTCTATGAAACCCATCAAATCTTTATACAGGTTGAAACTTGCCTCGTGCTGCTAAACTAGCCAAAGGACTAAAAAACTGATTTTATCTGTTCATACAAATTTTCCCGTCATTGAACACCCTTCTCCTGTGCTCTCAGTTCGGTCCCTGTCGTTTAAAAGATAGCATGCCCGATAGCCCTCCTTGATCTGTTTCTGTTTGGTTTGGTCCCTTGACACTTGAAACACTCCCTAAAGTTGGGAGCTGATTCCCCACCAACTGATAAGCACTTCCCACAGTATTCTTGCAAAGCAACAGTGCTGTGGGAGGTGGAAGCCTCTTCACTTGCCTCTTTCACATGAACGTGCTGACTTATATTTACTTCCTCCCCGTCAGGTTCTTGCAGATAGGAACGTTAAATGCTTAAATTGATCCTATCCACAGTTAATTAAGCAAGAATTGTTGGAGCAAATTTAAAAAAGAACAACATTCAATTAGAGTAGTGATTAGAAGAAGCTAAGAGATAGACTTTTAAAGGCATTTTCGAACAGTTAATGCTGAAAGAGTGAAAGATAAATGATTCATTTGCATCGTAGAGGAGCTTCTTTGTGCTATTTGTTATCACCCTTCTGGTATGGGTTTTGCTTCTTTGTCTAACATATTCTTATCTAGGGAGCTATCTGTGCTTCTTTTCTCTATCGGCGGTTAGGATGACGAGGATGATATAAAGTCATCTAGCCTGGTCTCACCTAGCAAATCTAAAGTCTTCCATATTTCTTTTTTTTTGAGAAGAAAGTCCTTTTTTCTTGATAACTGTGGTATTTGGGCCAGCCTGTGGGCACCTCAACTATTCCATAGGTAATCTGCTACCTCCCATCAACACAGGTACCAGAGAAACCACCCAGTCTTTTTTTGTCTCTGCTAGGAATTGAACTTATGTCATGGTTCTCAGCCCACTTCATTGACCAATAGGCGACACCCTCGGGTGCTTAAAGTCTTTCATTCTCTTCTGCAATAATCTGTTTGGATGTGCTAGATGCCTCAAATGTACAATAAGTTGGAAGAAGGAATGTTCTTAATCTGGGTGCTGATGAATATAACATTTTGCCAATTTCAAAAAAAAAAGAAGAGGAGTGTTCTTAATCACTTTCTGTTTTCCTGAAAGGTAATTACTTGAACTTCTACATTATCAAAACAAAAAAAAATAAATCTTTCTGCCTTTGAGATTCATGAAGCAGATGCTAGCGACGCTTACAATTATCTGATAGGGTTTAAAACTTTCACATAACGTTTTATGTGACTTTAACTGGATTCCATGCTCACACAGTTTTGGTACAGGACAGTAAAACACAATCATGTGAATGAAAAGAAGTATTTATGAAATTCATTTACTCCACATATATTTCTAAGACGAGTGATTGATGTGTTCTCTATGAAACTTCCATTTACTTATGTAGGAACGTGTAGGCTCAGTAGCTGTGGAAGCTATGCTGTCCAGATCTGCACCAGTCTTTTATGGTGATATTAGAAGCCATGAAAGGGTAACTTTTTTGTTTTGAGATAGTTCAAGAGCATGAAATGCAAACTTCATACTCTAGAATTATTTTGTTCAGCTGGACCTTTAACATATATCTCCCTCCATTTCAGGTCCCATTGAGCTTCTCTACCTTTATCAGATATTGCTTGGGCCTATTGAAGAATAGGGATGGAAGGCGAGATGATTTTTTGGAATCTCAGAAGCATAGTCTTGTAGTATCTGACACTGAGCAAACTGATTTACATTTTGGAGAAGCTCCTCAGCAATTTTATTTAGCACAGGTGATAATTTTGTTGACGATAGGATATTGGGACAAGCCAATGGCTTGTGTTCTTTTAATATCTTTCCCTGATGATGACTGAGTAGTCTCATTTCTTTCTTTCTAGAGAAATGCTACTAATCCTGGATAAAATCTTTTCGTGTTCAGGTTCCAATTCTGAATTTTGAGAAAAATGAACACATGCAACTGGAGTGCCTTGGAGAAGATATTCAAACGGTGTGAGAATGAATGCATTCCCTCTGCCTGATCAACCCTTTTCTTTCTGGGTGTAGTATTTCTATTTAACTGACATTTAAAGCTCTACCTTGCAGCCTGTACCTTTGGAGACCAAAAGCCTGTCTTCTGTTAATTTGTGGATGAACAGCATGAAGGCTAGATCCAGCACACACTACGATCCACACCACAACCTCTTATGTATAGTCTCTGGATGCAAGGAAGGTTAGATATTTCTGTATTTTACAGGAAAAAGGTTCATTATCATGCTATGGTATTCTTTCTTGTGGGAGATTGTGGGACCAATTCCATCACTGTACATTTAGAGTGACCGAACAACACCAGATAGATAGAAAGTTGTACATCGTTTTGAGTATTCTGTTTCCTTTTTCTGTCTGCCTGTCTCTTTCTCTCTCTCTCTCTCTCTCCTCTGAGTCTTGATGCTTGGGAAGGAAAGATTAGCTATGGCAGTTTACTTCTTGGTGGAATATTCTGTGCTAGCTTTGATTTCTGGTAGTCACAGATTGTAGTTTTAAAGATAAAATGAAGATGAGGAAGATAATGGGTCCTTATATTTGTTATCCATTACTAATGGATTACCTCTGGCTATTTGGTCTTGCCTGCTAGTTACAAGTACAGAAGTACTAGTAGGAGCTACCACAATTGTCAGTTTTAATGTATTTGGTTTTGTTTTGATGTCTATCAATTTATCCAAAATAAAGGATGCCTCAGCCTGTTTGTTCTGACCTACTTGGTACAATTACTAGCAGGAGCTACCACAATTATCAGTTTCCATTATATCTGGTTATGATCCATTAGCAATGAACTGTTTTTTTTCCCACTTGTCTGTTTTGTATATCAACTACTCCGCCTTCCGGGGAAATTGTTGGATTATTTAAACTTACTCAAAAGTTTTATTTGGTTGGCAGTTACTTTATGGCCACCTTCTGCAACTCCTTACTTATATCCACTACCTCTGTATGGGGAGGCTTCAAACCACAGGTATTTCATTTCCTATATGTAATCTTACGTACTTTTTGTGCTCTTTTCATTTTTGGATTAGCCATAAGCTCATAACATGGATGATATACATGCCAATTTACTACTTCCATTCTTTGTTTCCTTGCAGCTCTGTTACTTTAGAAGAACCAGATCTTTCACTCTATCCAAGGGCGACATGCCTAAGTGACTTTTCGCAAAAGGTTGTTCTTCATGCTGGTGATGCCCTGTTCATTCCTGAAGGATGGTAAGATATTACCCTGTCTTGTTTGTTGCTTAAATAATAAATATGCATGATATGTTTTTCTTTTGGTCTTTTCCCCTTCTCTCTGAATATTGTAAGTCTGCATTTCTCTATGGATTATATCATTAAAGAAGTATTTATCCTCTATGGTCTTAACTGGTCTAGGGAAGGAAATGTTCATCTAGGTAAGTCCATGGCATAAGTTCTGAGGCCAAAATTGGGACCTTTGAATTTCTGGTGCAGAAAACATACAATTCTGACACAATTCACAAGATAATAACTTGTGTAGTGTATGCTCTAATTGTAGATTACTCATTTTGGATAATTTTTCTGTTTAGTGCTTCCTTAGATTTTTGTGTCTGTATGTTCTAAGGTTCCAATTTGTAGTTTGTACTTTGTACCTACTTATTCTGTCAATTAAAAAATGATATATCAACAGTACTATATGGTTGAACTTGAAAGTACTGGAGTAGTAATTCTATTGGAGTGCTTTCCTACAGAAGCATAAGTTGCACTGAATGTTCCTCATTGCTTTTCAGTGTGTTCTGTAAATTATTCCAATAGTTACATCTGGATTTCTGGTAGACTACTGAAATCTTAGAATGAATTTGGTTCTTCGAAAGAGATGTATTATTTCTTTACACAATTGTTGGAGATGGAAGCAATGTATACTGTGGGAAACTCTCCAATGTAACCATATGTTTCAGATGTTTTTTGTTTGTTTTTGAGAAGGAACCAAATGTCTTTAGATGTTGGTCACTAGATCTATCAACTCATTCTGGATGATGTGTATATGTAGTTGTGTTGCAGCATTTTAGCTTTCTCCTCTTTCTTTATCAATTGTTGAACATACCTAGTCATTAGCGTTGATATTCTAGGTTTCATCAAGTGGATAGCGAAGTTTTAACCATCGCTGTCAACTTTTGGTGGCGGTCCATGACAATATCTGGCATGTTGGAGCATATGGATGCATATTATCTGCGTAGAATATTGAAAAGGTAAGTTTTGTCCCCCTCATCTCCTACATTGATCAGATCTATTTTTGGCTCTTCTGTATTATTTCAAAGAACAATAGACTAATAATTATGCTCATTGGTGCTCTTTCACCTTTACGTTGGAAACTGAAGATTGACTGATAAGGAAATGGTTAGTTTTTCTAATCTCTATTCATCATTTTTGAATTATGTGAATTCAAAAGTTTATTATTGTAGTAACACATATATTGGTCTTTATCGCGTCCCTTCATGTGCGACACAAATTATTTTGCTTTAGTCTAAGTACATGAGAATTCTTTGACAATGGATGACGATGAGACTCAAATCTGGGAACTATACATGCATTTATTGTGTATTAACTTGTGAGTAGTACATCATCATCTAAAAGTTTGAACCTTTTTCAAGAAGTATTTTTATTATTTATAATAAAGGAAGAGGTCCAAATTTTCCCCTCAACTATTGACTTTCACTTGACTATGTACTCCTGTAGAAGTTGCCAAACAAAAAATACCCTTGCTGTTATAAACCATGTTGCTCAGACTCTTCAAAAATTCAAAAATGTCAACTGGTGCATGTCGGATTCTCCAAAAGTAGTGTATTTTTGGAGAATCCGACACGGGTGCGGCATCAAAAGTGAAGAGTCCGTGGAACTTAGGTTATAAAAATAGGGCATTTTGGGATTTCACCTAACTCACCAAACGAAACCTTGCTTGTATTCACCATCCTCCACATAAACTGGCACATATCATTAAACATTGCTTTGATTCGATTTCGTTGCCCGGAGATTTATCTCATTTTTGTCAGTTGTCTCACTGGCATTTTGTCTATTATATCATATGATGTGTCTCAGCTAGCTTATATGCCAATTTGACCATTTTTAGTAGATAATACAATTTCTTCCACTTCTGAATCCCAAACAATTCGATTAGGGGTCAATATATAGATTAAAGGTCCTTCTTCAAATTGCTCTTCATTTGTAACTTCATTACCTTCATGGTTCGCTCCGTCTGTGTTACCTACAAATAAAAGGCCCGTTCAGGAAGACCATCTAATTTTACGAAAAAGGGATAATTGAAATCCTCTAATTGTTGGAGTTTGTTTCTTTTAATGCCTTACTTTCCCTCCACATTTTCCCTGACATCCAACTAACGTCCTCTACTCCAGTACACAACACACATCATTGTTTGCTTAACTAAATTTAGTAAGGTTGCAGCAACCTTTCATAAAAATTAGGCTGCAACCTCTTTACCTTTACCTTCTTTTCTTGCAGTTGATCTCCTCTTCTCTGCATTTTCTTGTTTCTTTCCGTCAGCAATCTGCTTCTTTTCTTCCTTTTCGTTATCCCTTTGCTTGGTTTTATATCTGTTCTCATTAGGGCCTCGAAGATGAGGTGCTATTTTTGTTGTCTCCTTCAGTGGGATTTGACTCCAAAAATTCCTCCTATTTTTCACCATCTTTGTCTCAGGCAGATTCACCTTTGACAATCGCTGCAAATGAGGGCTAAGGGGCTTTATCGTTGTTTGAGCAGGTCTAGTAGAGCTATGTTGCTCGAACTCTTCAAAAATGTCAACTGGTGCATGTCGGATTCTCCAAAAGTAGTGTATTTTTGGAGAATCCGACACGGGTGCGGCATTGAAAGTGAAGAGTCCATGCAACTTAGTAGTAGAGTACTGTATTATTCGTTGTTGGGTGATGCTCGAATATTGTGGTGGATGAGCTGATTTGTTTTGTCATGCTAAATTTTGTATTGGATCTGGATCTGGAGATGTTTCAAGCGGGTTGAATGGTTTGAATTGGTAAAAAATGGCTGGGTGCTGCTGGAGGGAGGGGGGAGGGGGTCATTGGAGGATGGTTGGGCTGGGTTTGCTAGGGTGTGTGTATTATCCATGTGTTCTGACATGTCAAGATGTTTCTGTACATCATTTCTAGGATGGTGAGTATGTCATTTCAGAATTAGATGAAATCATATGTCTTTATGTTTGAAACATACGTTCATGTTCAATGATTGGATTGCCATGAAAAGAGATGGCAAGCACCATATATTGTTTGATTAAATCGGTTGAAATTGAGAAGTAATAAACTAAAGCCGTTCATCGACTAATTCCAATGACCTGTTGGTCAAACAAAGGAATAAATAAAACCAGAACTTGGTATTTTGGTGGTTAAGACTTCAAAGAAACATTCAAGCATTAAAGATCCATCTTGATAAACATGAAGTGCATAATGTGATGAGGATAGGATAAGCAAAAGAAAGCTTTGATGAATTGTTATAAGATAGTTGATGGGTGATTTGAGATAACATGGCAGATAATAGTCTTTAGACGTGTATATTGAGTATTGACGTTGCTAAGAAAGTTCAAATATGGGCCTAATTCAGTCCAAAAAGCTATATGATGAGGCGGCGTCAAGATCATATTAAGAGATCACAATCAATACCCTGAACAATGTGGGACTGTAATACCCTATCGCACGCACGGGGCCGAACATCTGGAGCATGAATGACATAACATGGGAGCTCAACATTTGCTAACCAAACATGTGGGATGACTGACTTTGAGACCGTGTTATTGATCCTGCCTAACACAACCATATAAAGAGATGAGAACTTCTCAAACCATATAAAGAGATTACAACCAATATCTTCTAGTAATATGGGAATCTAACAAACACCAAGAAATTTTCAAGTGAGGAAGAACTGTTTGGTAACATTGAATGCAGTTGGTGATGCTAGAGGCTGATAAAGACTACAATTAAGATGGATTAAGGAAAACAGTTCTTTCAACTTCAAAACAATTGATGTAGTATTATCATAGGCAGCTTTCTTAGCAAAAATTTTGGTTGTACTTTTAATTGGTCTGAATTGTTAAACATTAATGCAAAAAGATGGATTTACCATATTGCAACTTTAACTTTATCAAAAAAAAAAGATGGATTTACCATATTGTTGGATAATAAGTATATACGTGATTATCATCGTTTTTTTCTCAAGTTCAAAAAAAGTATATACATGATTATTTTCATCTCTCCCTCTTTGGTGACCAGGGCAGAATAAGATGCTGCATTTTCCTTCAAGTAGTATGGATAAAACTATGACTTGTACTACTTCCCGGCCTAATAATGCATATAGAGGTAAATCATTTTCTCTATTTGCCAGTTTCGAGTATTCACTGATATACAGTTTTCAATTTTGGGTCTTCTTTAATACCTGTATAGGGGAAACGTTTTGACGCCTGTATGCCATTCATGTGTTCTAAGTACTGTTCTTCTTTTCACTAGATCATGTACACCAAGGAATCAGCACGAATTGTGGCGACAGAAGTTCAAAAGATGAGCTTAAGTCGAAAGTGATGCTGCAAGATTTGGAACCATGTGCATCACAGTCTCTGAGTGAACTTATTTTATTGGTTCATAACCGTCTCAATCCAAGCAAGCTGACGGAATCTACAGATAATTCATCTGCTGGGGAGAATGATGAGACGAATAAAAGAAAAGAGGACTCATGTAGCACCAGCGGTGATCCAGTTGCTAATCTTATTTTGACTCTTCATCCACTTGGAATCCACAGTGTCTTTCTTGCAATGGCGGTGAGTTCATTCTTAACAATAGTTTCGATGAATCTTGGTTATCTTGGGCCCTGTATTATTAATCTTAGCTTCTTCTCTTTCCTTTCGACCCGACTTTATTGATGTTTTCTCTGCATCTTTTAATTACCAAAGGAGATGTATATGCTATAGCCTATAGTCCAACTGAGTAAGACAAAAAGGTTAAGATACTGTTCTGTTCCTTTGGGGTTGAAATTTGGGGGGAGCCTTGTAAAGGTAGAAACATCTTATTGGAAAATGTATGATTATTGGTTATTTGACTTATGCTACCATTTCCTGTTAAATTGTGATTCAATCTGTTTCATTAGCATGCAATAGTATCCAATGCTATAAGTTAAGTTCTATTGTTGACATTTTTGCAAGCTTAAATGTTGCTGCATCCTGTTTCATAACCTTTCTATGGGTTTGGTCCTAAAGTTCCCACATTTGTAGGGTGGAATCCCCAGTGTATTAAAATCAAAATTGGTGGAATCTTTCTTTAGCTATATTGGACAAATATTTTATGCCAATACTTGAGTAAGTGAGCCTTATCCCTCAAATGCTTTAGCATCTGGGAGGTTGGACAAATTTTTGGATTATGCGATTTGTTTTATCATGGTTTGTTTTATCTTGCTCCTTTTTCCCTGAGACCACTTTGTTTTTTCTAGTCAGCCTGTTGTTTTATTAAGAGTTTCTCAATGCGTTATTCATCTCAATCCATTCAGCTCTTCCGTGGTAGTTACTTTTTCCCCTTTCATTGCTTTAATGAGGTTCCTTCTCATTTCCAGAACCATTTTCCAAGAACATTAGAGGCCTTAGTATTGCATGCACTCACTCCTGTTGGATCGGAAATCCTCACTCGAAAATTTGAAGAGATGGATCAGCTAATTTCAGGAGACGACCAGTACGTTTCATCCACATGCATTTCCGTGGACTAGAAAATTTCTATTGCTTTTAATATCCCAGTTAACTTTGATGTATACAGGAACCAATTCTACCAGATCTTTTATGGCGTGTTTGATGACCAGTCTGCGGCTATGGATGTACTTCTGAATGGCAAGGAGTTATTTGCTCGTCAGGTGCGTCTATTAAAGCCTTATGGTTATGTGCTACTTATCTGCTATTCAACTCTTACATTTTTCTTTTGAGAAGATATTCAACTTTACATGCAGTCTGTAATTTTGATTATTAAGCTGGTATCCGTATTTCCTGGTGAAAGGAATGGAATTTATATTTCTTCTTTTATATGCTGTTTTTTCTCTATAATGATATGAATAAATATCATTGTTGAACTGGTGGTAGAAACATTTGACAGATGATCAGTCTACTTAATCTCTAGCCCAAAGTGTCCTAAGTGCTCAAGGAGGGTTGTACTAGGGTTCTTTGAGTTATTTAATAGGCTTTCAACAAATACCATACTCTGTTTTAGATCAGTTAAACTGCAGGGCTCCTAAGTTGTTTTATTTGATTTGGTTCTATTCATGTGTGTGATATTTATTTATGTACTTGAACATACTGCATGAAGCAAAATGTCTTCTTTTCCTAGCGTCAACTTCATTTTTCTCTTACTTATGTATTAGTATGTGATGTCAATGCCAACTGTTAAGGCTGGATTTTCTTCATTCGAGTTATAGTCATTAGTCATAGTCATTGTATCACGAGGAAGACTACAATAACTTATCCTTGCTTATCATGACATTACAGGCATTTGAAAATGTGCTCGGTCAGTACCTGGGAAATAATCCTGATGGGCCGAAGCAACAAACCAAATAGATACCAACTGGCACTTCAAAAAGAATACGGTCTTTGAATCGCATGACCGACTTCTCCTCTCCACCCTTTTCCTCCTCATTTGGTATTTAAATTGGATAACCGACTTCTCCCTCTCCACCTTTTTCCTCTTCATTTGGTACTGCACTTGTAACCCTATATTACTGAGTCCCTACTTACATTAGCTGCCATTTTATTGCGTGTTTTTGTAGATTTTGTGACATAATTTCATATTGAAGTTCAGAATTGTTTCTGTTTATATTGTGTAATTAATACCTCTAATATTTTGGATTTGGGAGTTGCGTTGTTTAGAATCATATTTTGTTTGAGGAGATTCTCGATATGACAGTTTGTGCTTTTTCTTTCCGCTCTAGTTGATTTTAAGATTGCTTTAGTATCTTTTTAACGTGGGGTTGACGTAGGAGGAAGGTTAAATGGCTAGCGTCAGCGAGTTAACAAGCTTCAAAAATATTGATTTGGGTGTCAACATAAAGAGAGCTTATAGATGATAATGACCTTGAATATTCTTTTTCTTTATAGATAAGGGCAGTACTTTATTAGGAATCATTCTTGACATTTCGTCAAATTTATGTGAGATTTGAAATCTTTTGGACCCCAAAACCCAGGCTACTAAGATATAGTTCTTTTATCCCATGTTATTTTGTTCTCTGTAAATCTTTAGCAGTAAGACAAAAGAAAATCATGCATCCTGCAGATTCCCGCACTGTGAAAGACCAAGTTGGAATTATCCATGTATCTATAAGTGCCTTGATTTTTTTCTTCTTTAGAAACATGTGTCATAGACCTTTACCTTTTGCATGGTACTTGAATGTTCTCAAGTAAAGCAGCACTTGCATTGCATGGGGATTCGAAGTTCAATCGAAAAGAAACTTAAGGCATGGTAAAGAAGGTTTGGTAATTATTGGGTTTGTAAGTAGGAAAGGAATAAAAGATAAAGATGGGATAGAATAGAAGCTTTTGTTATCTGGCTGTGACACAGAACAAAAGATGAAAAAAAAAAAGAGAGGATCTTTTTTAGTAGGCAAATGGTATATAATGTACCTTGACCTGCAACTTATGTTGACTTTCTAAAAGCTCGAATATACCATAAATACACTGTCACAACTTTTATAAATTCCTTGAGACCCACTGCAAGTAACTTTGGATGCTGAATAGACTTTTGTTGAGACTATCTGTTTGGAATGTGATTCTTTCTTTCATCTTTTCTTTTGTGACATTCATGTTTCCTCTTTACTAGTTGTGTCTTATTATCAAGTGTTGAGATCCCAGAATTTTATGTTTAATCCTTAATAATAGCATCAAGGTCATGCTATGTTTCCAGGTTTTTGAACAAAGATGATGCACTTAGGGAAAAAATAGAGAATATTTCCGGAATCGAATATAGGAAAGAGATAAAATTCGACGAGGCAACTTGCTGCAAAATTAAATGTATAAATTATAGGAACCACATATTATAAGTACTAAATAACATCCTATCCCTTATAGTTTTCTATTTACCAAAAATCCCTTAAAAATGATGTTTGCGGGATACATAGCGTTGTGCACGGGATACATTAGGTTTGATACATTCCACATAGCGGGATACATAGCGTTGTGCACGGGATACATGCGGGATATATAGGTAAATAAGGGATTTTTGAAAATTTTGAAATAAGTAGGGATAAATGGATATTAAGGTAAGTAAAGGAGTGTAGTTAAGTAATTTGTCCAAAATTAAATTCCGTTGATATTTTGGGCTAAAATATCTTCCCAAATTTTGCTTCGACTTGCATTGAACTGCTTGTCTTCTCCTCTTATGGCATCAACCATCAGTCGACTTCAAATTAGAAAACAAATATATTACTGTCTATTAGTGTTGGACTTGATCATCAAATAATATTTTTTGTATAACTAGTTTAAGCTTAAACTACAATCTATATTTCTTTGGGTCTTGATATTAACAACAGCAACAACATACCTACTACAGGATTGGGATGTGGAGAGGGTAGACTGTGTGCAGATCTTATCATTATCTAGTGGAGGTAGGGAGACTGTTTTCGAAAGACTATCGGTTCGAATACAACAAATCAGATTAAGTATGAAAAGGGAAAATGACAGTGAAGAAAATATAGTAACTACTACGAAAATAGTAACAACAAAATAGTGCAATAATCGAAACATTATAAAAATATATATACGCTAGAATAAAACTAATACGTACGACAGACACAACTAAGCCTAAACTCTTTAGGAAGTAAGAGAACACTCCATTACGTATTAACCTTTTGTCCTAATCCGCTACTTCTACGCTCTCTTATTTTAGGATCATATCCTCAATAAGGTGAAGTTGCGTCATATCCTGTCTAATAACCTCAATCCCCATTACAACTGACAAATGAAAAAGGGAAAAGAGGCCAAAGTTTTTTGGATCTTTTGCTCGCATGATTTCCAAGTTATTTGTTTAGTGGTCATAGAAAATGTAATAATTTTCTTGTCAGAATTGAGGAGGTAAAAATAGGAAGGGGTATATAGTGTGGTGCACAAAAATAAAGAAATCCCTAATGGAATTAATGTGCCCACAAAGAGTTTTGTGAAGATATCATCTTTTATGAAAATCGTTGACATTGTTTGTTCTCTTTTCTTAAATTTAATTCAACAAATATAATTCCATCTCTATCTTTAGTTTTTTAACCTTCTTTTCTTTATATTTTGTTCTTTGTTTCTACCACTAATTTAAGGACCACCACTGTTACACACTAAGTGACCTTTTATACTCACGCTTATATGCATGTTTTTTTTTATTTTTACACCCTTTAGAAAAGGCCTATAGCTTGCTTCGATTTCACCACTATTTTTTTTCCTTTTTGTGTATATAGTTGTAGTTGTAGTTGTAAAATTGGTTAGTACTCATACCTCATATAAAAGATAGATGCATGGGAGTTGTACTTTAAACAAAAAGATTGATGCATGGGAAATAGGAAAATTTTACAATAATTCCCTCTTAAACTCAAAAGAGAGAGGTCCACAATTCCATCTCAACAATTTCCCAATTCCCACTACTCGTGTATACTTTTACTATTTTCGGCTCTCCTCTCTCTAAGACTATTTCTCTGACGACAGATTCAGGACTTTCACTAAGAAAATTTAAAATATAAGAAAGTAAACACATGAAAAAGCTAATGAGATACATATAGGGGTTGTTTGGTTGGGAACAAGTTATCCCCAGATAAGTTATTCCATCATGTATATGAGATAAATTAATGGTTGGATAAATAGTCCAAGGACAACCTAATACCTCCAACCAAACGTGAGATATTATAATGCTACATTTTATTCTAAAATTATTATACTTTGTACCTCACACCAAACGACTCCATAGAGTATATATACATATAAAAAAACATGGCATATTTACGCAGTGTAATTCTCCGTTAAAGAGGTGTAAGTTGACTCCCTTTGTGCAAAGGTGGCTCACCATTGTATGTAGGGGATCAACCTCTTCATTCCGATTCAAGCATTGTTTAGCAACTCAACTAGAGGTACTTAATAAACTACGAAAACTATGATGCGACCCTATTAAAGAAAGTATTAAGGATTTAACTCGAAAAAAATACAATTGATCGTGGCTTGGGAATACCTTGTCTAAAGATTGTTGCTCTCAAGTTGAATCGAAAAAATAACAGAATTCATAAAGATTAATCATAAAGTTCTATTTAAATTTAATGTACGTTTGTCTTGTCTATTCCATAAAATAAGGCTTATAGGCTATAGCTATAGACATTTTCCTAGTGGATAACTTGACTTGCAAATACAGTCAATTTTCGGGGTTAATTTCACAGATAATCATATACTAATTTTTATGTTATTATATCATAGTCATTAAATCATCTTTATTAACAAAAAAATTACTCAATTTTACCTATCTCTAATTCACTAAACTAACTTTTGTAGTGAAAAAGTGATTCAACTATGCCTAAGTAGAAAAGAAGGTGACCCAGAGGAAATAGCGTAGACATTTTCTATGATATTTAGTATTAAAAAAAACAGTTTCGTAACTTTTGTAATACTTAAATAAAGTTGAATAACTTTTTCTTTGCAAATAAATAGTTAAATAATTTTTGTGCGATAAAATAAATGTTTGAAAGACCTATGTATGACTTCGTATTTGTTTTCGTTGGAGATAAAATCATGACTTCAACCAGAAAATAGAACTGATTATGTACCAAATTATTTTATGTATATGGTAGGGCAAAATAAATAACTCTCTTAATTTTTTTTTTGTCCTTTCTAAAATTGGAAGTCGAACTTTTTATAATTTGAATGTGGTAAATCCTACAGAAAAAGTGTAAAGTTGAGGATAAACCCAAAAGTATACGCAGCATGCGGAGTACAAATGCTTTTCCTCTCTTACCAAAAGGCCCTACTACTCCAGACTAGAGACGGATCAAGAATTTTTAATATATGAATTTGAGATTCAGCTATTCTTCAGTAAAAATTATAAATTCCATAGTATCAAAAGCTACTTACATCTTATTTCTATTTTTTTCTAAATTACAAAAAATCCTTAAAATTATAGGATCTCGGATAAATACGTGCGGATACATAACTCACAGATTGCAAATGATACATTACTTAATGAGAGAGATATATCCAAGACGGGATAGGAATATATCCAAGAGAAGAGGGATATATCCGAGAGGGATAAGGATATTAATCTAGATTTCATATAAATACACTTAATATACTGTTTTTTGCTTCATTATAAAATAAAGTAATATAAAAAAAATAAATTATTTAAAAAAAATACAATTTATATTTTTTAAAAGTATCATCTATAAAAAGACAAACATTTTCCTTCCCTACTATTATAGCATGATGAAATAATTATAATTGTTGTTTTATTGCAAAAATATGGGATATATAGGGTAGTAGCAGTAATTGATATTTGAACAATCAAAATACATGTCTTTTAGTTGTATCAATTTGTTTTTTTTGATGTCTTATTACTTGTTGATCTTCTATTATATTGTGTCTCCATATAAAAAAAATAGAAATAATTGGAGAAATAGTATTAACTTTGTAATACAATCGGTTGTAACTTCAATACGGTATTACCGAATACCGTATCAAACCGAAGTTTAATTTACTGTTTCCTGAATTACCAAATCGAAATTTAAAATTTTGATATTTGACATCTACTTTAAATTACCAATTACCAAACCCGAAATTTGAGAAATCCAAACCGAATACCAAATGCCCACTCCTAATATTAATAGAG